ACACACACACCACAAACACTCACCACCTACCACATCACATACCACAAACACACACACCACACCACACCACACACCACACCACACCACTCACACACATCATCCACCACACCACTCACACACACTACACACCATACCACTCACACATACCACACACACACCACAAACACACATATCACAAACACACATGCCACACAAACCACACCACACACATGCAACACACCACACCCACACACCACACACATCACACCCCCCCACACCACAAACACACACCACACACAAACCACATCATGCACACATACCCCCCACGCCCTCTCCCCACACACAACACACACACACACATACACACAAGACACTCTGAGGAATACAGGCTTATAACTAAAAGACAAAGACAAGGAGTGAGTTCTCTGGATGTGCAACTTTAAAAACTTTTCATCAGACATGAAGATAAGCTCACAGCAAACTCGAGTTACTTTGTGCGTTATCATCAATCATTTGAAGAACCCTTCCACACTACTTTATCACAATACATAATTTAATTTATCTCACCTGGTTTAAAAGTAATCAAACAGGAACGATTAGTACAAGTACCTTCTGGGAAAACTAGTATCTTGGGAGAAAAGGAATAGATTTAATATTTCAGTCTAATTCATAGAATCCCTCCTCACTCACTTTCTTATAACATCACAAATAGCTGCCCCTTCTTATACAACAAAAATGAAATAAAAGGCAGAAGCACTTGTTTCTAATGAAAGCCAGAATGAGGCTGCTTGGTTTTCCTCTAGAATGGAGTCTCACCATTACGATTATTAGAAAATGGATTAAAGCTTTGAAGAGAGGATACACATACACTTCTTAAAAGACCCTAAATCCGAAGTGTGCACTGAACATACCAAATTCTTTATTCCATGGCTACCTGCATTCGTAACTCAGTTTTCCCATGAAATGATACCCATTTCTACAATGGAGGAAAATGGAGAGAAGTTTTCAATATACCTGCTTTTTACTTGAGTTAGTTGACATGGAATACAACTGAATATCATCTTTCGGGACGTATTTTCAGTTTTGAAAATACTTCTTGATGTTTTCCATGTGCAAAATACACAGTACAGTGAATTTCCCTAATTAGTGAGTTTTCTGAAGCTTCTGGAATTTAGCAGTGAGTCAACTGCTAAGGAGCTAAAACGAACGACCTTGTCCGGAGACAGCAGTGTGTACCTTACAATAGGGGAGGGAGAATACTAACGGGCTCAACTGTCACAGTCACAGGTATGAAGATCAGGACTGCGAGAAGCGCCATCCTCCAGGGAGAAACCGGCGTCCTCCGACAGGAGGAGACTGCAGCCTCTGTGATTCACTCGGAGGGAATTCTGTTGCTACACCATGAACCGTGGACGGATGTGGAGTGAATCATAAAATCTCAGAGCTGGCAGGGGCATGACAAGTCATCTTGAGTGTCGAGCGTGGAATTCTCTCTGCAATATCCCCCCCCAGTGGTTGCTCAGCCAAAGCCTGCAAATTCCGAAAGCGAATTCTAAACCAGGCCACTCGACCTCTGCACAGAATGTCCTGGAGGTGAATGACGAGCTGTCATCTAGCTACCTGTTCACTTTTACCCAGCAGTCCTTGGGGTCCCAGGTTTCCAAGGGAAACAGCAAACCCTCCTTCCAAACGCTAGCTCTTCCCATCACTTACAGGCTTTGGTTTCTACAACCTCCTGGCTGGTTTTACCCTTCTTGGTACCTTAACATCTGAAATCATGCCTGATGGCCAGCTCACCCGGGGCCAGCTCACCACAGAGCCACTTCTGCTACTTGTGACTTGTTTTCACCAGGGCAAAGATCGGGGGATCCTTATCATCACGATGTTTTCTACCTGCAATGAATATGGTCCCTTCCTCACCATTATAAGGCAATGCAGGGCACTGGGCTGGTGAGCTGGTATGGATGAGAGACTTTAACAAGTGGTTCTGGCCAGACCCTGGATGTAAAAGCGTTGTCTAAGTATACTCCAGGCAAGACTGAAGCTCTTAACCCTTTTTTTTCTTCTTCTGTCAACCCAACATGAGTTTTACTATCTTTAAAACAGTAAATAAAATCAGAGATAGGGCATTATTTTTTATGGCACAAAAATTCTTCTGACTTTATAGAGAATTAATACATTGAAGTCCATGGAATATCCCACGGGGAAGAAGACTTCTTCACACTCATTTATTCTACTTCTGTTATGCTAAGACATCTGGCATAGACGTTCCAGGTTCTGCTATCTATGGATCCAAATGATCTATTTATACATGTGTGACCAGCTCTCAATATGCTGAATTGAGCACCTACTGAGCAGTTTTACCTGTGGCCATTCGCCTCCTGATGTAGCTCTCTTGATTATTTCATTTATCGTGTTTTTTCTTGAATCTGGATCTACACGGGACACCAGCACTGGCTGCAAGGCCCGTAACAGTCCTTTAAAAGAAAAAAGAAGTCATTTTTACTAGGGCTACTATACTACCATAGTGATGATCAATCATAAGACAGATTTTAAGGAAACTCAAGATGACAGTGAATTTAAGAGAACGACTTAAAAAAAAAAAGCCTCAAATCCCAAATGTATTTGAAATAAGCCCCCCAGTTTCAGAAGAAGAGGTGGCTGATACCTAAAGCTATTTCACATATTTCACAGACATTAGCAGCAAGAATATGAAAAGAAGCAAATGTAATTTTCCCCCTAAAAGTCTTCTTTAGCTGACACTAAGCCCCGGGACTATGCTACAGGGATGTCTTGCTAAAGAATATCGTGGGCCCCTCCCTGGTGGCGCAGCGGGTTAAAGCACAGCACTGAGAAGCTAAAGCCACTTCCGCATGAGTTCGATCCCCGCCTGCCCGGAGGTGACCACATGGCGCGGCAGACCTCTCCTGACCCGCCCGCTGCTCCCCTCAGCAGTGTACTTCGTCGATCTGCCTGTCCTGCTCCCCACTCTGTCTCTGGTGAAGCCTCTCGCCACCCCTGAGCCTCTGGCCTGTACCCCAGTTCTGTATGTACAAATAAATAAATCTTTAAAAAAAATTATAAGAAAAAGTCATGAGAATTCACTGTACACATGATTAAGAGGTCATGATTATTCATTGTACTAAAAATTTCAGCAAGAGAGCCTGCCAAATACTTAATTTCTAGCACATGCAACATAAACTTCCATTTACCAAAAATCTCTTACGACATAATCTTTTAGGAAAATACCGTGTTACACAAAGCAAGGCAGTTATTTTGCAAATAAAAAAGAATGATTTCTGAGCTGAATGGCAAGGACGCAAGAACCATGATCACATCTCCCAAGTGCCAGGGCAACACAAGACAACATTCACACCCCTCATCCCTCGGTGCGAGCCGTAATCTGGGACAAGTGGGAGCAGTTACCGGGAGACAACACCCTAGGGGGAGACCAAAGCATCTGGGGGAAAAACATTTCACTTGCTTCATTATTTTTTATGGCAGGGAGCACTTATGGCTCCATATCATAGTTTTCAGAGAGTTTCACATGGTCCCTCATGAAGATGCTGGGGCAGTCATGAAGAAAACAGTTAGGAGAAGAGGCTTGGTGGGCTTGTGAGCATCAGACCCTGAAGAGAACTTCATGAAACCACATGTAAGCAGCGCATTCACAAATTCTTGGCTACGTTCGCCCTCAAAAAAATTGGGCATGTTTGGTATTTGAAATTTTGTTTGGCTATATTGATATCTGGTTTTTCTGACTATTTAGAAGAATAGGAACATGAATTCAAAGAGATGTATGCATCCTTCTATTTATTGCAGAATTATTCACAATTGTAAGGTATGGAAACAACCAAAGTGTCTAAAAATGGATGAACGGATGGAAGAGACATGATCCAGACATGCAAATAACGTTTCAGTCAAGGCAGGATTTATATAGCCTGGCCACACCGTTTGGGCTTGGGCGCATATATTTATGATGTTCACAAAGTTGCCTAATGACACATGTATGAGAATGTATTCCTATCGTTAAAAATGCATGACTGTGTATATAATGGAATGCTACTCAGCCATTAAAAAGGTGAGGTGTTGCCATTTGTGACAACCAGGATGGATCTTGAGGGAATATTGCTACGGGAAATAAATCAGACAGAGAAAAAAAGACGCCATGTGAGTTAGCTTAAACGTGGAACCTAAGAACAGAAACAGGACAAAATTCATGAGTACAGAGAAAGTATGGTGATTGCTAGAAGGTGGACGGGAGGGTAGATGAAATGGGGAAAAAGGTCAAGAAGATAGATCCTAAAAATTAACTTTGCAATGGTGACCATTTCACAACATATACAAATATCAAAACATTATGTTGTGCACCTGAAATCAATATAATCACATAAACCAATTATTTCTCAAAAAAACCCCAACAAAACAAAACAGGAGGAATGATATGGTGAAAAGGATGTAAACAGAATGATATGAGTACGGACAGAGAGGTTTCTAATCTACTTTCATAAATTCACTCTTTTGATCTAGTATCTCATGAAAAGAAAGGAATTTTGCTTGAAGTGTTTCATTTTGAAAGCTTTCGAAAAGTCGGTCAACAAACTATAAATGATCTTTTTAATTTAAAGCAAGTGCATGAAGACATTTTCTCTGGCAAGTACTTACTGCCAATCAGAGGGACCTGTACATTCTCGTTTCGAGATACTATGGAAGGTAACCCCGTGACGACACAGGCGATTCCATCAAAGAAGCTTGAATGAGGGGCGACCACAAAGATCGGTGCTTCCGCGGAATCAGCCATCTTGCCTTTCACGGTGACTATAAATCCCATGGAAAGGAACATGGCGTGGCCCAGAAACTTCAAAACTGGTTGGCTAATTTTCCTTTGGAAATAAATATTTAAAAAGACACCATTAGCTTTGCTAATTGCAGTTAACAGGGGAGCTTTCCACTGAAACATAATACAAAATCAAACATGTCAGAACATTTCATGTTAAAATGAGCCAAGAAGAACAGGGAACACTTATGTGGAGCTCTTCCTGCCAGGAACTACTCTTAACAGGATAACTATGCAAATCACTATAAAATACATTAGCTATAAATATATTATATATATACGTATATATATTTTAAATCCTCACTTCCATTTGGCACAATAGGAACTATGTATTATCCCCCTTTACCAGATGAGAATACTGAAGCAGAGAAGTAATCTTCCGAAGGACCTAGGGTTAATAAATAGCCGCATTAATCTGGTTTATAAAATGATAGGAACAGCCCCATTGCAAACAGGATTGAAGCCTGAACTGTCAACACATGACCCCCACGGAGAGACTCAACCCCACAGTGCCCTTCACTCGCCCTGACTCGCCTAATCCAGATGCAGCTCCCCCAAAACACACATGGCGCCCTTATGCTTAAATTGTCCTCGGAGCTATTCTAGGAGTAATTTTTTAGAAGTGTTATGACCTATATCATTATTGCACTTAGACAGCATCAAAAATCGTAAGTAAATTTACCATCCCACTTCCTTGGACAGAGATGCACGGAAATCCAGAAATGTAACTGCTTACTTAAATTTTTTTTTAATTTAAACTTTTTTTATTGGGCTAGTACTGCATTCACACATCATACAGGTCTGTATAAATCTCATCTGCATGGAAAACAAGAGGGTGCCCACTGAAGTCTGTTTGTCTCCACTCTGAGCACCCATTGTAAATGGCTCCAGTTTCACCAGTTTCTAATTTCCTTTTAGTAAGTCAAACTCTTCAGAATCTGTCATGGAAGACTAATCAATTCATCCAACTGTGCTGGACACAAGTAAGATCCAGTCTCTGTCCTTGACAAACTCAATCGAACAGGGATTGCAGTATTGCAGACATAGCTGGACAGCTCAGTGAACGTCTGCAAGTTCTCACGAACAATAAAATATATGTATCTGCCATAGAATGCCTAACGCAATTTTTAAAAAATGGGCTTCCCAGCTAATTCTCTACCACTCTTTTTATAATCTAGCGCAAAGCTGTTAGGCAAGTAGCTACTGAAAACATGTCTCTGTAATATCCCAGAAAGGAGCCGTGAGAATCAAAAGCTAAAGTATAACAGTTCCCCAGAGGGCACAGGGAAATGACTCTTCCCTTCCTGCCCTGTTGTTTAGAGTTGAGATTACTGTGTCAGAACAAAAGCTCACCCCTTCTGGGAATTTCCACACCTCTTATTTTTTTATGTATAGTGATGTAGCTTCTGACCACCTCATTCCAAAGTAGCCCATATTCAAAGTCATAAGTATTTCGCTTTAAATGTAAATGTCTAAACATGGTTACCAGTTTGCCTAATTCAAACCATTTGAGAGGAAGCACAGATACTGGGTTCATTAACATAGTAGAACTTTCTTCTCTAACATTTATTTTTATTTGTTCTTAGACTATTCCTTCCATCATTATAGGTTTTTTTTTTTTTAAAGACTGACTTATGTATGCATGCTAGAACTGGGGTACAGGCCTAGAGGTGTAGGGTGAGAGGATTCACCAGAGACAGAGTGGGGAGCAGAACAGGCAGGTCTACTGGAATCCACTGCTGAGGGGAGCAGCGGGGAGACAGGAGAGGTCTGCTGGGCCCTGTGGGTCACTCCTTGGCTCAGCATCAAACTCAGACAGCTCCACATCGCTGAGACTTAACTCCTTGTGCCACCAGGGAGGCCCCCAGAGTTTCAGTTTGTTTTTTTAGCCTTTGACAATTAAACCAGAGAGGTGCCAGAAAGAAACTGCTAAGTCATGGAAAACACCCTGCCATGTATTTTCCTTTTTATAACCTACAACACGGGGTCATAAAACAATGGAGAGGGGAGGACTGAGGAAGTGTTACTTCTACCTCAGGCCAGACTCCTGTTTCAATGGGCGTGTCGTCACCAGCGCAGGAGCTGAGCACAAACCGTCTGTTTCTTTATGAAATTTTCTAGAGTGGTGTTTATCAAAGTTTTTGGAAGACACATTGTTATTTGAGATTGGGATGAAGGAAAGCAATCCTTTTGCTCACACAGAACAGTGTGCATGAGTTCATCAGTGCCTAAACCCACACATGGACTCTGAGGAAACCTGTACAATCCACAGGACGTGCAGCGGCCGCAGCTGGTTCTGCCCGGCAGAACGAGCGTGACCCGTGGCTTTGTTCATTTGTGGTCAGCCTGTTGTTTAAAACCACGCTATCATCTACCTCAGTGCTCGTGGTTAAAAGCTACGTTTTATCAGGGGAAGACTGTTATTACTGGGCCTCCCTGGTGGCGCAAGGGGTTAAGTCTCAGCACTATGAAGCTGCCCGAAGCCACCACAGCACCATTGATCCCTGGCCCGGGAGTGACCCACAGGGCACAGCACACTCCTATCTCCCCGCTCCCCTCAGCAGTGGACTTCAGTCAATCCGCCTGCTCTGCTCCCCACTCTGTCTCTGGTGAAGCCTCTCACCCCCACACCTCTGGCCTGTACCCCAGTTCTTATATGCATGAATAAGCCAATTTTTTTTTTAAGATTTATTTATTTGTGCATACAGAACTGGGGTACAGGCCAGATGTGCAGTGAACAGATTCACCAGAGACAGAGAGGGGAGCAGAACAGGCAGACTGATGAAGCACACTGCTGAGGGGAGCGGCGGGCGGGTCAGGAGAGGTCTGCCGCGCCATGTGGATCTCCTCGGGGCTGGAGATGAAACTCGCACTGAGGCAGCTGCGAGTTGCAGTGCTGCACTTTAACCCGCTGCGCCACTAGGGAGGGCCTAAATAAATCAATCTTTAAAAAATAATTGTTATGGCCCTCCCTGGTGGCGCAGCGGGTTAAAGCGCAGCACTGAGAATCTAAAGCCGCTGCTGCATGAGTTCGATTCCCGCCTGCCCCGGAGGTGACCACAGGGCGTGGCAGACCTCTCCTGACCCGCCCGCTGCTCCCCTCAGCAGTGTACTTTGTCGATCTGCCTGTTCTGCCCCCCTCTCTGTCTCTGGTGAAGCCAATCGCCGCCCCTGAGCCTCTGGCCTGTACCCCAGTTATGTATGCACAAATAAATAAATCTTTAAAAAAAAAAAAGTTTAAAAAAAAATAATTGTTATTACTAACAATTGTATACTAACTGGCATAATTGATATACTGCTATATATACCACTGCAGAAAATATATAGTTACTATAGGACAAAGCAAATGTGGAAATCAAGGAAGAGCAAAAGAAGTGAGGAATTTTTCAGTGGCTTCGGGAATGTACTAACTGATCTTTCAGAGGATGGGATCTACCATTTCCTGGCACGAACTCAGAAAACAAAATATTTTGAGATTATGAAATTACAACTCCAACAGAAGATCTTAATGTGCTTACGTAGTAGTTCCTACATGATAAAATAAGAATAGTTTCCACCTGATAAACAAAAACAGCAGCTAGAGGGGTCTCCCTCGTGGCACAGGGGTTAAATCTCAGCACTATCATTGTCTCCGGCCAGGGAGTGACCCACAGGGTACAGGAGACCTCTCCTGTCTCCCCGCTGCTCCACTCAGCATTGGATTTCAGTCATCGGCCTGTTCTGCTCCCCACTCTGTCTCTGGTGAATCCTCTCACCCCTGCACTGCTGGCCTGTACCCCAGTTCTTATGTGCATAAATAAATCTTTAAAAAAAGTAGCAGCTAGATAAATCTGACTAAACTATGATAAACATTTACTTATCTTGAGATACTTAGCTCTTAGGAATAATTCTCTCTTACCTCCTCCAACCAGTCAGCGGGTGGGTCGGCTTTTCAGGGGTGCACACTGTTGAAATCGCAGCAAATGACCACGCCAGGATTAAGACACACGCAAGCAATAAGGTGCGGAGTGGGAGCAGGAGAAGTCCCAGAAAGAAAATCTGAAAGTCAATGTTGATGACAACAGATGAATGGACTTTTTAAAAAAAATATGTAAGTTTATTTTTACATCATTTGGTGCCTTTCCCTATGGGCTTCCCATCACCAAATCACCTGTCTGCCATCACCATAGTCCAGTGCATTCCTCCCTCCCTGTTTTTGACCCCATCCCCCACTCCACCCCGTAAAATGTCTCTGGCATATAGTTGTTTATTATTATTATTATTATTTTTCCGCCATCAAGCAGAAACCTGTAGGAGGAAGGTTTATCCTCCTCCTGCACCCACCTGGGGGTGAACACTGTAAGCAGGTGTTCGGGGTCCCCTTCCACCCCCCCAGTGACTAGTGGTTTTCTTACTGACCTGAGATAACAGTGTGAAAGGAAACAGCCATGAGATGGCTCCAGTGTCCACCAAAAAGTCAATCAAACGACCCCCACCCCACATTAAGAGTTCCTCAGGGGGTTAACAAAATGAAAATGACAATAAGCTGATTCAAACTGAGCGGAACCACCGAGCCCCATTATTCTTCACCTGGACCCTCATTCTGGACCCCCACTGGCCTTCTTTCCTCCCTCTTTGCACCCTCATTCCCTGCCCACATGCTGCCTTGCAAGGCTTGACTCCAGCCCATCTGTGCTGGCCTTGCGACCGTCCTGCTTTTTCTCTTTCGGGCTCTGACCAGGGCACCTGTTCTTCCGAGGACCTTCTTCCTCATGCGCGCACACCGATTCCTCCTTAGCGACTTGCTCAGCCTGCTTTCACGCTTCTGGGCCATCCTATTTTCCCTCAAAATACCATCACAGGCCTGGGCTTCCTCTCCTCTCTTGTGTTATTTCCACCCACTGGGAAGGCCTCTCAATCTTACTGAACCTTCTCCTTAACCCGGAGAAGCCTGCCAAGTGAATGTCATATGAATCATGCGAGCATTTGCTGGCACACCAGGATTTACATGTGTGTAGATGCTGTAAGTTTGCATAATCCGCTCAAGGAGCTCAGATGGAATTTTCTGAACCGCCAGCACCTTCCCAAAGCTTTCCTGCTGAGAACTCCCTGCCTCGGCGCTAGTAACTGCTGCTTAGTGCTCTCACCTCCTCAGACCCGCCACTCGGGCCCCAGTCAGACTGTTGGGACAGCTGCCTCTGGCGCTGGCCTTTCCACACCCTCTTCACTAGACTTCCCTAAAACCGTGCTTCCTTTATCAACGTGTCCAACATGGCTGGTATGTCCACCCAGTAGGCTGATAGAGGCAAAGATGGTCCCAGGCGAGTTGGCATTGGTTTGGGATCCTGCCGGTGTGGAGGGCCAGGAGCTCCCTGGTAGAAAAGAGACATACCCCACCATACCCAGCAGCTGAACCCCCCCACCCCCGCCTCCTGTTGAACACTGGCCCCAGGACAGCTCCTTTGCCAAAGAGGGTACTCTGTCTAGTGTACGGAGTAGCTGATATTCTTAGGGGGTGGGGCTCAGTCTGTGGGGACCCCCAGAAGGAGCACTGGCTGCCTAGAAGGGATTCTCAATGGGCAGGTTCAAGGTTGCTAGTTCAAGTGGCGGTCGGCCTCCCATTACTGTTAAGGGGAAGGATGTCCTAAAGGAACTCTGCGGAGTCTTATGAACTCCACCCATACTCCAGCTTTCTGGACTCCACCCCCTACTCCAGTGATTGGAAACTACAACTCCCAGCAGTACCAGGGAGAGAACTGCAAGGACCCAAGGGCGGAGCTAGCAGGCATTCTGGGACTTTGAGGGATAAATTGGGAGCGATTTTCTACGGCTCTGGGGGCTCACACAACGGCTCTCAGAACCTCGTGACTGGGGGCTATCAGTTAGTTAGTTACCAGAGCTCCAAGTCAGCCGAGCAGGTAAGATATTCTAGTGACCTTGTATCTCTCTCTCTTTCCCTGGGTTGTTCCTTTTCCTTTCCCCTTTTGTAAATAAACCCATTATTGTCCCTTTTTTGTGTGTCTGCAGTACAACTAAGTTTCAGAAGTGCAGGTTAGGACCCATAGAGAGACAGCCCAGTTCCCACTGGGGTGACCTGTAACATTACCACTGTCAAGGTGGGGGGAAGGCTGCTCCCCTCTTCTTTGTACTGTTTAAAGGGCCTCTGTTTTTTCCCAGGTCTACCTTACAGAGAACACTAAGAATCTCTCTTGCAGATTCTCACCTGAAACAGAAGACTCACCTGTTTTTGAACCAGAAAAGAGAGTGTAGCTCATCTGTATGCATGCCCCCAGAAGGCAACCAGAGCAAAGAGCCCCAAATGTATGTCCCTATCTCCCCAAATAAAAAAATCAACTTGTATGTGCCAGACCTTACTAAATTCAACCATGCAGAGCCCAGGATGGAAGTAGATGGAGCAGGGGAGAAGAGAATGGAGGAGAGGAAGTAGCGTCGCTCAGATGAAGACCGAACCTGCATCTTTTTCAAAATTACTTTCAATCAAATTCTGCCGTGTGTCATGTGACTGCAGAGCACGTCATGGTGACCAACACAAGGACCTCTGGGCTGGTCAACCACGGTCTCCAGTCCCTCTGTGATCACGCACTGAGAGCAACGTTAGGGGGCCTGGACATGGCCTGGGGGTTCTCTGCCCATGCGCTCACTCACAACTGCAAGTCACAGCTGCTGCTTGGGATGCAACAGCAATGTGATCTACTTACCAATTGGGGAATAAAAAAAAAAAAAAGGCTGCTAAGGCTGTTAGAGGGTAGCTCACTCATTGTGGTTTTGATTTGCATTTCCCTGATTATAAGGGATGTTGAACATTTTTTCATAGGCCTCTTGGCCAATTCCTCTTTGGGGAAGTTCTTCTGGCATCCACTGAACTTCTTGAACGTACAGATTCAAGTCAATTTGGCAAGTTTTCAGGCATCATTTCTTCAAATGCTCTTTCTGTCCCTTTCTCCTCTCAGAGTAGGGCTCCCATTATACTTAAGTTGACACATCTGATTGTGTCCTACAGGTCTCTGGGGCTCTGTTTATTTTTCTTCACCTTTTTTCTTTCTTTCTGTTCTTCAAGTTAGATAATCTCCATTGACCTAACTTTGAGCTAACACTTTCTTCTATTTGCTCAAGTCAAGAGGGCCAGCCATTGAGGTCTTTATTAAATGTGTCCCTCAGCTACTGTAACACTTATGTCCAATTTCCACTTGGTACTTTCATAATTTCAAAACTTTATTGATACTTGGCAATACACTCATATTGTCATTTAGTTCTTTGGACAGGTTTTCTTTAGTTTTTTTGAATACATTTAAAAATATCCTAAAGTTTTTGGATAAAGATCCATCTAGAAGGCAGGTGTGCATGTTGGGCCACACTCAGTTAAGTGAAGTTCATAACTCTGCCTTGGCTTTTACTTCCTATTTGTAAGAGGCTGATGATTAGCCAGTGAGAGTTAGGGAATTCTTGGATCTTTTTTTTCAGACTGCGAACATAGGCTCGAGTATGCTCAGAGCTCCACTTCTAAAGTCTCAGGAGTATGTCAGAACTTCTCAGGGTCCCCAGTGAACACATCCACCCCTAGATTTTTTTTCAATAAACATTTTGGTTAGTCTGTTGTTACTATTCACTGCCTCAGGATCTGTTACATTCATCAATTGCTTCTCACTGTTTTTGACAGATACTCCTGGGTGAGTCCAAGGCAAGTCAAATGAAGAAAGTCTTAGAGATGATCAAAAAATAATCTCTGCTGCAAGAAAGCACTACGTTGGCCTACACTCCAGTTCTTGTATGCGTAAATAAATAAATATTTACAAAAAGACGAAGAGCAACTGATAACGGATTTTAACTGAAGAAGTTGTCAACTATTATTATTTTTTTCTGTACCATTTTCAAAGTTTATAACAAATAATGGCACTTTATAGTAAACCAATTTTGACTAACTTTTTGAAAATTAAGAAGACGCTCTGTTGGGTTTCCATTTGGTAATACATCATCTGTCTAGGAGTGCCTTCTTTCAACACTCTTAGCACCTACTAAAACACAGACTTATATGTTTGTATTCGCTTGACTTTCTCAGTGAAATATAAGCTTTCATAGGCAAGGCCCTCATTTTTCACTGGTATATGTCCCAGACATAAACACTGTATCTGGCACTTAGCAGGCATTAAAAAGAACTTTTGGTATGATAAATTGCCCCACAATTACAAACCAAAATTCATTTCCTTTCCACATTCTACTGAGAAAATGAAAAGTCAGGCTACTTTTCCCCATAATACCTAGTAGCAGATCACTAGGTAGTCAAAAAGAAAGGGAGGAGCAAAACTAAGTTCAACGATAACATGCAAAATAGTCCTTCTGGAAGACACTGATAACTGCTCAAGATTAATTAATCCTATTAAAATAACACATTAACTCCAATGAAAGCATGTCCATCCGTAATACGTAGGCAACCTTGTTTTTCAGTCATGTCTATTCAAATTTTCTCTGTGTGGGCTATTCAAGTACTTGAAAACTCTTTGATATTTCGAAGGATTTATAAGTCTATATGGACTTTTAATTGTTTAATCGTCAGGCTACATTAAATTCTATTCAATCTCAGCAAATTTTAAGTACCTATGCAATTTGTAGACAACACACAGCATAAGATAAACCTATAGTAAGATAACTTTCCTATATTATCTCACGTAATTTTAAGCCTCTTTTGATATATCCTTCTTCCAATTTAACAGATGGAGAAAGTGGAGTGCAGAGAGGTTAAATGACTTGGTTCGTGTCAAACAACTAGTAAATGGCTATGTCAGAGCAGGTTTTCTGACTAATGCCAGTGATATTTCCATTAAACTATAGTGCTTATAAAATTATTTGGAAGTGTTCCCTAAATAGTAACAGTCTATGTTTTTTTAACTATTTTTTTTATTCTAGGTACAATTTAAATACTTAAGAATATGACATTTTGTTCCTCATTCCAACATATGAGGCCAAATAGATGGACACACTTTCAGTATGAATGATTTGATGACATCAAACTAAAATTAATTTTGAATGATAGTCAATGTATTTAGACATGTTTTCAGATGTTCTGAGATACAAAAAGAAGGGCTATTTATTGAAGACATGATGACCAAAAATTTAAAGGCTTAGCTTCTTTGCAAAGAGTATTACTCTAGTCATGATCTTCCTCTTCCTCTCTCACGCCCTTCTTCGACCAGATACTCATCTACCATTTGACTCTAACCACACCTTATGCTGCTTAGCTCAGCATTTAACCACCACTGTAGAGAACAATGGTTTTAGTGTGTACAAGGAGGCTGTGCAAAAATTAGTTTTTCAAATCTGAAGAAATGTGTGAGACAGGAAAACAATTAAAACCATTTTCTTCACGCAGAAAACACAGTCTATCTTGTTTACATATAGTCTATCTTGTTCCTTGATCACTAACATCACTAAAGGGAAGTCCAAAGAGTAAATGTAACTACTAGTGGTAAAAGCAGCATTTTGCAAGAAAAGAGACAGGAAAGGAAACTTCCTTTTTGTATATTGCCATTTTTTAACAGCGGAAGATAGTCTGGGCTACTTCTCACCCACGAACCTAGAAGCGTGGGGGGGTGGGGGGGAAGGGTCAGAACCGACCACTCCTGAGCGCCTTAAGCTGGCTCAGTTATCCGTTTTTCTTGATTCTGTTTCCTACCCTGATGCGCTGGACTCGGTGGGTCATCCCTGCCTCACTTATTCTAACTTCAGATGTCGCCTTTCTATCTTCTCCTCACTCTTCCCACCCCATACTGATGGCTCTCATACTGATTGGGGGAAAAAAAAAAGGATTTCCAAAACTCATTCTCTCAACATCTGGGGAAGTCCTCCAGACTTATCCTCCCTTCTCAGCACGCTGCCTCTGCCGCTGGCCCGCGCAACCTCCTCTGCCTCAGGACCTTCCTGCAAGACCTCCCCTTGCAGCCACCAAGCACCCTCGAGTCCCAGACTCGCATCAAGCCCATGCAGACTCCGGGCCCCTGCAAAAGGCATCCCCTCTGCGTTCTACATTTCTTGCCTAGCGCTTCTGCTTCCAAAACTCACATCCTCTCTGCCGGGGACGCCTCTCAAGCCGGCTGCACCTCGGGGAGCATCCCGTCAGACCCACCTTGCCCTGCCTCCCCGGCCAGCCCGCAGGTCCACCTGGACCTGCCTCCCCGGCTAAGCCTCCCCTACGTGCAACTCCTCTCTTATACCCACGCCCCTGCCCTGCCAGACCCACGCCTCTTACCTGGGCGCGCTTCGCCGCGCCCATCCGCGTCTGCTGCACGAAGGGGTTGGGCACCGGCGGCGGGAAGAAGGACGCCTGGCGGGGCACCATGGGCGGCCGCAGTCCCGGCTTCCCGACGCCAGCGCCCGGCACCGTGGCCGCCACCGCCGCCGCCTCAGCGCACCGGCTCATGGCCGGGCCGGACGCCAAACTGGATGGGAAGCAC